CAGTTGTCTACTTATATGTAACGGTTTCTCGGCGCATGTGAATTTCAATAACAGATTCAATTATCCGTTAAATGAATTGTCCAGCCTCGAGCATATATGGATACTGATAGCTCGAGCTTTGGCGGACGAAGGCACCGCGGAACGCACTCAGTGAAATGCAACAACAACACTTGCCGGGGTCCCGATCACGCGTGTCGAGGCTATTGCAATAAAGATTCAAATGAGGCTAAACTTATACCGAGATCAGCTACGTGCTCATACCTTGTTTTAATACCTCAAACGTATCTAGTGCATGTAAACACTCAATTAACGATTGTTCAATTCTTCTACAGTAAATGCATGATAACATGCATGATAAGTTAGCTCAAGGACATATGTGCCATCCTCATCATTGAAAAGTGCAACAAATAAGTAGATTCGTGCAGAAATTGGCACGCTTATGATACAGCAAAAAGGCTTGATTGAAAGACATTCGAAACAATAATTCGTGTGATGTCAAATCATTGATTGCTGAACTGTTGGTATTTCTGTATTAGCTGTCAACGTTGGAGAACGTGATGCAAGCAATAAGAACATGTATAGACTTAGTGCGTTGACGAGAAGTGGTGGGGCGTGCCGAAATTGACTCGAAACATCAAAAGTAGCACCACCTCATCTTATAAGCACCCATCATATAAGTGCTAGTTTCGAAGAAATGGAAGTTCCCTTCAAATGTAGCCGGTATACGTGAGCTTAATTGTACTTTCAGTGGCCAGGAGGATATTGGATATGTTCTTGATCGGGTGCGGGATATTCACTTGGACATTGAAGATGACGCACTTTATTCGATGCTTCCTGGCAGCCCATAGTATCCTGCCCCGTGACATGTCGGTGATCCACCGGAAGAGGTGGAGTCAGTCCACGATACAACTGGTTGTAGAAATGTCTTCTCGAAGCGGTTTCTTTTCTCGGATCATTTTCAGATTGTCTATACGATTGGCTTTGTCCTCCAAACACTTAAAACAATAATTTAATAGCCTATTATAGCTGCTTCATTATACACTAATTCAGTACACGCCATAGAATCATTTACACTCGACACCTCTGGCAGAAAATCATCATGAATCGTGCTGAAGCTTGGACTTGAGTGGCCTGTTGAACATCATGGGCTCACAAAAATTAGGCAAGTACGTTAAGAATGCGAATACCACCTACCTGTGACGCATGTCAGTAGCTCGATTAGCTACTGTCCTTCGCTCCAGTAGTAAACACACATAGCATCGACTTTCGACTTATATTCGACACGTCAGGTCGCATGTTGCCATCAACATCGGACTGCTGGGGGGCGTAACTGAGCAGTCGTTGTCTTGCTGTCGATTCTCCATCCAGAAATCTGAAACGAGCAGCTTTATAAGTCGCGACAGGATCAAATGAAGGTAAACAGTAAGCTTTGCTGCTCGTACCTGGCTCGAACCTGTCTTACGTGAGTGCAGCACGTACCTGGCTCGAACCTGTCTTACTTCAGTGCAGCACCATGGATCGAACTTGTCTTACGTCAGTGCAGTACTTTAACTCGGAATTTCTTTATGTGTGTTTCCAAACGCTAAGGCGTGACGTTTAGTAATGGTGTGGGGGGAGGACTGTCGCCTTTAAAAAATATGATACGTTTGTATTAATCTCAAGACGGTGCTACGTACCGCTGTCATTTTGACATCTGTGAAGACGAACACAAATTACGACCCGAAGAAAACTGGTTATATGAATTTGTGTAGTTGGAGATAGAGTTGGCGCCAGGTAGGCTTTCAGTCGGCGCTGTTTAGCGCGTCCCTGTCAATGGGTTACCAATCCGTGGCGTGATCTCTTGATTGGAAGTCGTGCTTGACATGAAGGGCTCCGCTGAGACTAGCGCGAAATCTCGATGATGAAGCATTCAGCTGTTTCCGAGAGCCCAGCTCTAGTTGGATTGTTTATCAGTTATTTCTTGGTGTTCAGATGGTCTATTAACATGGGATTAACTATGTACAAGATCTCTGGTAAAGGCGGAGCCAAACATCCAGCCCCGGTTTTCCCGGAGGTTGGCTTTAGCAAGCCCCTGACCTGTCTGGAAGCTTGTCAGGTGCACGTTCGAGCAGCTCGATGCTGGATAACATCACTGCGCCCATGATAGCTGTTGCCTCTTGCCAGTGCTATCTGGTCGCGATTGCGTGAAGTTGGCAGACGCAAGAGGTCCAAAAGTCCTGCGTGGTTACAAGGAGGTCGGTCATGGCTGCGTTGTAGACGGCGTCATTGCGGTCGGTCCACAGCTACGTGAGACACAACGTCCCAAGAATGTGCCAAATTCTTTTCCAGACGCGGTCGGCCATTTTTCGATCCTCTTGAAATCGGTCTTTCAGTATTGCTGTGCGGTGCTGTGGTACGTGAGGCACTCGTCGTCTTGCACACGCTTGAGAAAATTGCTGAGTTCGCTGTCGTGATGTCCGCTCGACTGTCCATTGACCATCGAGTTTGTCCCAGAGAGCTGCAGCATTCGCACGCTCCCAGAATAAACGAGCCGAAGCTTCCTTTTTCCCCGACAGCCAGGTCGCTTCCTACAGTCGTCATTCTCGTACCTCCCAGCGTGATGGAGATTAAGTTGTCGAGTCACTATCCTGTACCCGGTCCAGACTTGAAACTAAGTCAGGCCATTGCTATGATGCCGGGCTTGCTGAGGTGTTTGGCTGAGCACCGCTCGTTGCCGTTCATCCGTGCTTGCGCGCGCTTCTAGCCGATCCAAAAAAGCTCCTAAGGGCGGGCTAGCTTTTGTTTGTGAAATGCAAACGCTTGACGTTTAAGACACGCTATGACGCCCTCGTTTGGCGTTGAGTCAGGGACTGACCACGAAAATCGGTGGAGAAGAGGGTGCGCCTCGAAGACGAAGACCGTTTTGAGTAAATCGGGACGAGGTGTCTGTTTGGCTGCCGTACATTCGTCTGCCAGCACCGGGAAAGGTCCCGGACAGCTCCAGTGTATACCATCGGCCAACTGATGCAATTTGACTCGCCGTGTCGGATTAAGCCCAGATACCAGAGGGCTGCCCGCGATTACTCCTGCGCCCTGGTAATTCCAGGTGTATGGAGATAGACCCGGTGGAGCGTGCCGCAGGCGCAGTATTTGGTGGGTGTCCAGACGTGAGTTGATCGGAATCGCTGGCGTGGAGAGCAGAAGGGCTGTAACCCACCGCCGTAATTTTATTATCGAATGGTGTTGGGGTTGGTGCGGAGGCTTAGGGATGATGATGACACATTCTGCAGGTCCCGTTCGTAAGATGCTCAGTCGTGCCAGCGAAGAGTCATCGATTCTGTCGTACGCCCGTCTAGTCATGATGTCAAACGATGATCGCGAATCCAAAAGTTTGCTGACCAGTTGAATGTGGACCAGAAACGCTGAATCTCGTCGGGCATGTCACCAACACCGAACCGTCGGGTTGGAAAAGGGGAGGAGTAAGATAAGGCAAATTCGTCCCCCTCCCACTAACTAGCTGCCCGCTCCAGCAACGAAACTGAGTGTGCGATAACCCAAGATGAGACTCTCGCAACCTGGTCCGTGTTGGGGCGAGCCATTCGCACAGCGTCTGGTTTACCTCTCGACCTGGAGTTTGGGACATGTGAGGATGTTGCCGACGTCCTGCTAGCATTGGAGAGACAGGGTGTTCTGCCACTTGTGCCAGTCCACGGTAAGCCCACTGTCGCCACGCCGAAAAGTACCTGTTCGGGCGCTGAGTGAGCCAGAGAATCGCGTGCTTCGTTCGTTGGGTGTTGACGGCTACGGACATATCGGCCAGTCCGATGCCTCCCGCATGGGTTGGTGTAAGCAGTAGACTTGGGTTGACTTTGTGCCGACTTTTGTCCGTCGTCGTTGCATGAGCCCATAATAATTGCTTCTAGAAATTGTTTACTTCTATCATCGCCTACAAGGTATGTCAAAGACGCTCGCCGTAAAGAGCAACGTGTGTATCAGTTATGACATTGGCTGCCAGCCGGATCACACATCAAACGATGTTGACAGGACATCGCTTTTCGTGACGGCGCTCCCGCCGTTGTTTGGCCACGACATTCGTATTCCTTGCGCTTTCATAGTTTACATATCCGCACGCACAGAGGCCACCCTGATTGCATAAAGGTCACGCACTTTAAGCGTACACATACACGAGTATGGGCATGTCACATCACGTCTGAAAGCCAACTGCTTGACAAAGATAATGGCCGCTTTGGTGATCAGAAGCCACTCGAGTCTCTGTACATGGTTCACTGGCTTGATGCACAGAACAATTGCGAGACGGACCAGCTCTACTCGCGTCGAACCCAGAAGACTCAAGGTGCCCTGGCTGTGGGAGGGGTGCATGAACATAAAAGTGCGCGCCGTCTAGTCGGTGTACCCCCACGCCCTTTCACTCGATGGAGGCGTACAAACGGGAAGACAAAGTCATGACATGACCGACGACGACTTTCGCTCAGCTCCGCGCGTAGATACCTTTTTGAGCACGCAACCATCGAAACGCGCGCGAGACGTACCTCTTTCTACACGCCTCGAGATGTAAGCGCGTGGCTTTGAGCCCAGACGTTGCAGTATTCGGATTAGGAGCCCTTTGCTCTCATCTTAGCCGTTGGCAGGATTCGGAGTCGACTCTCTTTGCTCTCATCCCAGCCGCATGCCCTCGGTGAGAAAAGAACGTCCAGTATCTTGACAAGCTTGTAGTCTCCATGAGCTGGTCTTTCTCATGCCCGGAGGAGAGGGCGCACATCCTCGGTCTTTTTGCTCTTGTCTCCTCCCTATACGCCGTGAAAATGGTCTCGATAGGCGCGTGATGCTCTAGAACGCTACAAAAATTTGCCGCTGAATTAATGATCAATCGTGCAAGTCCTCGGCAAGCAGCAGATCGGTCTGTGAAGAGTCGACTCTCGCCTTTAGTTCCAGAAGCACTTTCCAATTAGCTCGCTACACCGCCCACAACTCCAAACTCGATCGGCCAGCCGACTCCAGCGATGCATCTCTATGCAGTCGAGCTTGGGGCTGCACTCTTTCTGGTATGCGTCGGCGGTGACTCCGCAGCTTACGCCTTAAAGCTATCGACAGCAGAGCGTCAACCCCAATCCCGTTTGTTGGCAGATGAACGGATCGACACGGAGTCCCCAACGTCATTGACGAACTTCGAGAGACTGGACAAAGACAGCGAAGAGAGGGTGTTTCCGGCTCAGGAGATGAAGGGGATTGATTTGGCTGAGAAGATGAAGCGGATTGATTCGTGGGTAAGCGAAACTCTGACTCAACACTTCGCAGATTCAACGATGAAGGCAGCGGGAAAACCGTCGCACCTCGATGATGAGACATTCGCTGCTGCACAGAAGCAGAGCATTTCCACCCCGCAGAACAAGCGCTGGACCGTCGACGACGAGAACTTTGGTGTATCGTCCATCGGAGATCCGACGCGACCTTCCCACTTTGATGGCGTGGTCGACGCACCCCTTACTGCGAAGTGGTCTACCTCTAATACATGGGAGGAGACTACATCTGCGTTCGAGCTATCGCAACAACCACGATACGAGAAGTGGGTGAAGGAGGGCTTATCCGGAGCTGAGGCTGCTCATAAGCTCGATTTCGACGACTACAAAGGTCTCGCTCAAAACCTGAAGACGCTAAAAGGATACATCAAGTTTCGGCAGAGCCAGGAGACTCTTCTTGAATGTATGACGAAATACTGGGGCGACGAAGAGCTGTTGGTGTCGTTTATTGGGCGGGCCAAGATGAACAAGGGCGGAAAGAGTGCGGCTGAGGAACTGGAGAATTTGCTCATTGCAAAGTGGCTAGGTGATGAAAACATGAACCCCGCAGAGCTGCTGAGGGTCATGGGCATGGAAACAATCGACGATCTGATCAGCCCCAAGCTGAATACGGTGTTGAAGTACGTCGAAGTCTACATTCTGAGGTCGAAGGACACGTCATTCTCAGTGCTTGCGCCGGTCAGAAAGAAACTTGGAGACGAAGAGGTGGCGAGAGTTCTCAATGCTGCAAGTAAGGATCCTTTCAGCAGTGTGACTAGGGACATTGCTGAGACGCTGCTAACTCTGCTGAAGATGGAGTGGCTAAGTGAAGGCAAACCCAGGGAAGCAACCGTCGCGACGATCAAGGCTCTAAGCGTCTGACGAGAGAAAGGATACACTGACTGAAGGCTGCATACAGCCATTCAGAGAGAAAGGTCTCGTAAGGATGCGCTAACGTACTCAGCGGGAAAGAGGAGGTGGGTGGAGAACGCTCCTTTCGCGATTGTCACTTTGGTGGCCGATGGTGAGATAGCACTTGAGTCTAGTTTTCTTTCAGCTATGTTAGATAGGTGAGATAAAGAAATTCTAGACAAGCGCTCGCAAGTTATTTTTGGACGTAGAAGGTCGCCCTTAGTCGCATGTAGCTAAGTGTGAGCTAGTACGGGACATTCTCGCACTGGTACAGAAAGACGCAATAAGCCAGCTGACGTTCCGCGGGCTGATCTTCGAGTCCTTGCGCACGATTTAACGCTTGCACCCAAAAGGCTATATTATAGACTCTAGCCCACCATCGTTCACTGTCACAGCCATTGCGCTGTGAGGTATCATATGATTGTTGTGCTTGTCTGCGCTGTCTTAGTGCCATCCAATGAAATTTTCGTCAATGCGCAGCGTTGAGCCGTAGTGTTGACCTGTGCACATGTCAGCTTTTGCTGAAGCAGACCATTGTGTGAGCATGGGATAGCAGCTTCTGGTCTAATGACAATCGCGTAAGCCAAATCGAGGGTGATGAAGCGTTTCGTCAGGCTGCTTGTATCGTTTCAACTGCCACAGTCATCATGTCCTTGCATTGTGTAACTTTGCGTCTTTAGAGACGCCTTAGTCGAATGTAAGTTCCAACATCGATGACTAGATCGTGCTACCCTCCACCAGCCAAAAGCCACAAGAGACTCGGATCTACGTCTGATTCGAGTCTCTTGTAATAGCTGCTGAACGTCCGCCCACGCAGGTGTGCGGCTGCTTTCTTCTGAGCTGTTGACCCCTCCTTCTGCTCTGACTCGCTCCTTTGAGCCACAAATTTTTGCTGCACGGCGTTGGATATTCAGTAAGAGCGACAGGCGTAAAGACTGAGCGTAGGTACATCCGATGCTACGACGTATCGCAACGCTTGGGCTCACGAGATTATAAAACCTTTAGAACGCATCAAACTCTGCCAGCTCGTCAGGACAGCTTTTGGAATGCGTTGTTGTCAAAGCTGGTTTAGCACCCATCAAGAGATAATGCAGAATAGTACGAATGAGCAGAACGGCTACAATCACTTTTCGCACGAGAAGTATGCTGACATCTTCATTTCTTCTTCATCGGAACTTGCTAAGCGCATCGGGAGCTATAGCATGAGCTATGGCGATCCCATACTGTGCGAAGACGATTGATTACAAGGAAGCAGGCCAGATGGCTTAAATGAACCCCTACCTCCTTCAAAAAGCTCTCTCGTGATCAGATCTGGCGCTACATGCGGCCGGACTAGTATCTTGATATGCAGCTTGTATCGCTGTTCCTTACTTATACTTCCACGCGCCTTCAACGTGATCTGATTCACCCTAGCGATGTTGTGCCCCACTCACCGCCTTTCAATTTCTTCGGCAATACATTGATGACGTGATGAAACCCTGTGCGCCAAGATCCACGTCAAGTTCATTGTTGGCCTAGCGCTGTTCTTTTCTAATCTGCCCGTGACACGTCGGCACCAAATTAAATTAGGATACCAGATTAGTCCTAGCGATCAAATTGGAACTCGCTTGTCTTATATCACGGGTATACAGGAACTTGGACGGGTACACACTACGCATATCGGCAACGCTCGATGGCATACTGTGATCGAAATACGGTGATAGCTGAACATTGTATCATAATCACCTTATGCCGTCGAGCGTTCCTTAACAAACGTTTGTGGGAAGAGAGGTGGCACGCACTGTTGTAGAACGATGCGATGCCGTCATCAACGCTAAGTTCACCAAGAAGTACAGGTCACGGCGTGACGATGTAGCAATTGTCGACAAGACATACTCAGAAAGTGGTGCAGCGATAGCGTTGGGTGTGTGATGGACGATGGAATCACGGTTTCGACATCGACGGAAGGCGCAACACAAAGAAGATAATTGTAATGTCGGACACTGGCTGTCGCAAAGGATACAAAGATACGACATTCGTAGCGGTTTGAACACTTTGGTCGCTGTAATGAGGTGAATCCAGTCATGACCCTGAACCCAAGTATGGACCGGCAGGACCCTCATTCCTTGTAGTGCTTCATTTGCTCGTGATTTTTGCCATATCAGACGATTGTGACAACAATCGCAATGTTTTAGCAAAGGTCGAAGTAATGACAGTCGAATCAGCACGAAATACAAGCTGATATTCGAGAACATAGTGTCCGATTTAGTAGTGTGTTTCCCTGTGCAGCTTCGTATTGTTTAACCGGATTGCATTCGACACGTTCTAATCGTGGACAGGAAAGCCTGTTTACATTAAATATAGTCCCTTGAGTCTTTGGCCTAGCGCAGTTTCACCTCGTGGTTCTTTCCACTTCGACACGCCGGATGCAGTCGTGTGGTTGCCTCACTATGAGCAAAGTGCGCGTAACCCTTCTGTGTAAAGGGAAATGAATGTGGTACACTCTTTTGGATGTCGTTGAGACGACATCCACGTAAGCGGCTGCAAATGCATCAGCAATGGCCATGTGATGGGGGGTTGTTTGCTGCAATGACAGCGAAGAGTAGTCATGTTCACAACGCCGCATTCATAAAACAATCCAAAAAAACGAAGAAAGCATGCACGATGGAAAATACATTTGAACAGCAACACTCTATATCATATTGACAAATACCAATTCATCGTTAATATTTACACGAGCGTCAAAGTAAATCAAAAAAAGGAAAAACACTCTCGTGATGTTATAGCGCCAAGTCGTTTTTTGTTTTGGTATCCTTTACTCACCTCGTTACACACTATCAAGTTGTTAACACGCAACTACAGTTGTACATGCGTGTTGCCACAGTAAACAAGCTCTATTTTGCGAGCATCAGCATTCTTATCCAAGTCGTAGAAAGCGTCTGTGGTTCAAATGCAGCATACATGCGGCATACAGGAGTATCAGAACATTGTGCTACATATGTGATGTGGACCGAGAGAACCTACGTATCGACATATTTTTGCCTTATGTCGTCCGCGACGTATATTGATAATACACCTATCTTCACAGCATCTGAAAACCAAAAAAACATAGATATTGGTGATATTGAAGTCTCTCATCGCTCGTGCATCAAATGACAGAGACGACGCAATGATATGATGTGTAACAATAGGCTCCGAGTCATTGTCCATCGGTAATATTGTAGAATCAATTCCAATAGGCACAGCGGTAGTGCATCGGGATGGATTGAGATTCCAGCTAGCTTATTTTTGCTTTCCATTTTTACCTTCCTGTAGCACTCACAGATTACATCCCCATTGGTTTTTCTCGCAGCTTAAAGGACTATGAGCTTAGCTGTATTCAGTACGAGCGACGTATACTTCGACGATAAAAACTTTTAACGGTTCTTGCACGCCAGAATGAGGCTGAAAAAATAGAGTTGCTGCAGAATATAGTTGATAGGATGACGTTAGATGAAGGAGAAGAAAGTACGTCAGCTTGTAACTATTATGGCGTGAGGCCTTGTTAATCGTGTCAAATACCACTAGCGCGATCTTGCTATGAATGATGCGTCGGAAAAATCGACTACAGAGGCGTAGAACATTATTTATAAAAATTTGCGCTAATGTATGCGTAATCGGGTTTAACGACGACGGCAGCTACATGATGTCTGACATAACCAGAGTAAAATCATGGCGAATCTATTTCTCTGATAGCCATGTTATGCCGTAGGTCAGGGATCTCATCGGATGAGAATTCGACTACGTCAAACACGTATTCCAATTACGTATGATGACCCGATTTTCAATACGATCGAGAGCTTGCATTGTATAGTTTGTCGAAAAAAATGCTGAGACGGTGGTACGATGAACAGGTGAGAACGTGCCACCAAAACCTTCTGTGATGGCGGCAACGCACATATCAAGTATATGAATGGACCTCGACACTGTCTGTAGATCAATTACCAGTCGAAGAGATGACAATTTGGGGAAGGGCTGTTAGTTAGGTACTAATTATAATCGCACGCAACAAGAATGGAAGGCTGATATAGTACAATGACAATTTGGATACGACAAATAATTATGCTGCGCTCAGTCAGACAGCATCTGGATGTAAATTATGTTGAAGATCTTTCTTTCACATAAGTTGTAAATGAAATGAGCCCTCGATAATAGACTCACGAAAGGCCCCGAAGATGATGACTATTGTAGATGAAAAGAAGGTGGAGGAAAATGAGTCGACGCAGGGAGCGTGGAGCTTCAGACTAGAGAAGTAATCATTATTAAAGAGACACTTATTACTTTAGATATGAGATGAAAGATTACTATCGATTTCAACACCGTCTGTAAATAATTTACAACTTATCTTCCATAGTATGAGCCTTTTAACCAAACTCAAAACAAAAGTGATCGCGCAATTACCAAGATAAATCGTTAATCGCGTCTTGGTTGCAGCCCCAATGATCCTTTAATTCTTGGGAAAAGATCTGCCGCTTGATCGATGTTCTTTTCATGAACACCGATCAAGCGGCAGCTCACACTTTTTGATACAAGGGTGGGTCATGCACATATTAAAAATCTCTCGTTAAAGACAACTAAGGATGAGTCGTGACTAGGGGTACATCCCACTTTCGATTGGGGAACACTCCATTTTTACTACGGGCACACTCGCCTGCCTAAAATGATAAAGAGGCATTCGCATTTTGTAAAGTAGAATAATGTACGTGTACAGTACAGTGCAATTGTATGTAATAACACCCAACCGAACTGCTAAAATTGTTTGGACTAGGGCTCTGGAGTTTCAGGAGAGAAATTCCATCTACTTCAAAAGAAAAATAACATGTCTTAAATACCTATCTTGGCCTCGCAATTGCGTATTTGTCCCCCCCCCCATACTCATATAATACGACAGAAAACACCGGATAATATCACGCAGTAGCTGGACTCCCAAAATGGCGTACGAAGGCCCGAGA